ACACTGCCTGGCCCCTGTCAGCACTGGAGTCTTCTATCACTATTATGTCATTTAGTTTCTGTAGAGAATCTGCACTCTAGAAATTAGTATCCCTAATTCCTAGATGAGAAAACTGAGCCTTAAAGAGAATTAAGGAGGCTTAAAGAGATAGCATGACGCCAGCCACTTATCAAGCACTTCCTGGGAACCTGGCTCAGTGCTAAGCTAACCCCCACTTTACAGATATGGAAAGTGAGGTTCAGAGATGTGACATCACTTGCCTGTGGTCACAGAAGGAGCTGGCATTTGAACCCAGGTTGGTGTGACACCAGAGTCCATGCAGCGGAGCTAATCCTTCCCCACACCTCCATCCCCAGTGTGCGGCCCTCACCTCCTGACTGCCCCCTGCAGGGGCGAGCCTGCAGCCCCCACACAGGCAGGCCTCAGGGGCGCATGCAGACAGCAGAGGCCTCTGCTGGACCGGAGGATCAGCAAGTCTGTCCTGGCCAGGTGTGCTGCACCCATGGGCAGAGGCAGGGGACTCAGGAAGGCTCCTGGCCCCCATGAAAATAACCCAAGAGACATGATTAACTGTCCGTGGCTCTGGTAAGGCCAAAGACTCACACTCAGGGATAAGAAAGCCAATTAATCTGGGAAAAGATCTCCTTTCCAATGTGGAAAATCCCCAAGGTCTCGCATGGACTCACACTGCTGCCGCATCCCCGCACACATTCCCTGGGATTCAGCTCCCTTTGGAATTGATATGTATTTTTATATATATATACCTATATACATTTTCTTGTACAGAAATGTTAAATTCTCAAGATTAAATATCTTCAGCTGGGGAAGATCAATTTACTTCTTTGAGGAGGCTGGAATTGAAAGTCGTGAGCCTGAAACTTACTTTCTTGCCAATTTGACTGATAAAAAAAGCCTCTCTGTCCTGGCATGTCGCCCTGTATTGGCTGCTCCAAACGATTCCATTAATTGATTTAGGTGACTGGCCCTAAAGCAGTGCTTATGAAGGTCCCCACTGGAGCTGGGACAGGCAGGATGACATTGGAGCCGTAGGTATGTAGGACTCTGTTCCCTCAGGCGGTGACTATAGCTCAGGCTGGTGACAGGAACTCAGGCCTCTGATGACTAGGCCTAGGAAGATGGGAGAAGGGACTGAGGTTCCAGGAGGGGGCCCTGGCTATATCCCTCCTTTCCTCAGAGGTGCCAGAGGGAGGCTTTTCAGGGATGTGCCCAGAATTACAGAATCACCCAAGGACAGAAGGACAGAAGCTTAAGGGGAATCAGAAACCATGAGTGGGCATGGTCGAGAATGAGGATCTCAAGATATGAGACAAACAGGGGGTGGCCTTTCCAGAAAATCAGATTTCAGAATCATCTGCCTAAAGGTGGAGGAGGTAGTGAATTAGTTGACACTAAATCTGGGAGAGCAGAACCCCTTGAACTCAGCATCACAGCCAGCTGCCGCCTTATTGTGTCTTCTCCTCTTAACTGGCCCAAGCTCTCTGGTGTCCTTTCCCATCTTCCTCATTTCATTCCTTTACCTGCTGCAGGCTTTCCTGTGTCTCTCCTCAAAACCCATCAGCCTCAACACCAGCCCTTCCCCACACCAGCCTCCAATGGAAATTTCTATCTTCATTTCTGATAGAGTGTTACTGGGAAGAACATATGTTTTAATGTCAGGCAGGCCTATGTATAGGAGGAATAGGGTGTTGAGGAGAGGATGCAGGGAGGAGTTTGCAGAAAGAGGAGATGTTCTCATCCTCTTCTGAGACAGAAGGAGTGGGGCAGGGCTCCCTCAGTGGTTCATTGGCTGGTTGTGTGGGAGAATGAGTGGGTAAAAATGGGTGAGGTGGAAGGGTGGATGGATGGTTGGTGATAGATAGGTGGATAAGAGGATGGATGGATGGATAAATAGGTTAAAAGGCTAGGTTATAGTTAGATAGTTAATTGAATGAATTAGTATGTAGATAGTGTGTGAGTGACTGGGTGAGAACTTGAACATGATGAGAGAGGATGGATACATGGATGGATGGATGGATGGATGGATGCATGGATGGATGGACAAATGGATGGATGGGTTGGTGGATGGGTAGATGGGTGAGTGGGTGGATGGGTTGGTGGATGGGTGGGTAGATGGATGGATGGGTAGATGGGTGGGTGGATGGACTGGTGGCAGATGGGTGGATGGATGCATTAGGAGATGTACGGGGAGCCCTGATGAGAGGCATCAATCCCTAGTTCCTACCTCTAGTAGAAGAAGGAGAATTTGGAAAGCAGGAGAGACTGGGATGGAAAAGGAGCTGAGGTACTGAAATCACTGATGGGAGAATAGTATTTAGTTACAATAACCAAGAGCACAGAGTGTCTGAGGCAATTTGTCCCTGGCAAGCAGGGATGATTGGACTTGGATAATCTGATTAGAGGAATACTGGAACTGATTATCTGAAAAAGCAACTATACTGGGAAAAGAAGTAGCTTGGTGGGTACATGTAAGAGAGTGTATCAGGTATCTCCTGCTGCATAACAAATTACCTAAAACTTTGTATCTTAAAACAATATTATGATCTCACAGTCTGGGTCAGGAATCAGAGCAGCTTAGCTGGGTCCTCTGTGCAGGTCTCTCAAAGGATGTCATCAAAGTGTCGGCTAGCACTGTAGTCACAAGTCTCCATTTCCAAGCTTGCTCACATGGTTGTTGGTAGCATTCAGTTCCCCCAGGCTGTTGGATAGAGGGCTTCTGTCTCCACTGACCACTGGCTGGAGGCTGCCCTCTGTTCCTTGGCATGTGGGCCTCTCCATGGGGCAGCTCACAGCAGGGCAGCCAGCTTCCATCAAGCAGGGAGCGAGAAGAGTCAGAGAGAATGCAAGCAAGACAGGAATCATAGTCTCTTGTAACCTAATCTCAGACGTGACATCCTATCACTCCTGGAGGAGTTAAAAGCAAGTCACTGGGCCCAGTCCACACTCACAGGGAAGGGGTCACAACAGGGCATGAATCCCAGGGATGGAGATCATTGGGGCCGGTTAGAAGCTTCTGGCCAACAGAGAATCTGGGTGGGAAAAGTAGCAGAGTGAGAAAAGACCAGAAGGAGAAAAGCAGCCAGAGTGGGGAGAGTCTGGATATCAGAAATTATTTAGAAAATAAGAAATGTCTGGAGAGTCAGCAGAGCTGAAAATCAGGAATGTGTTTAAGGGCAAGAGTAGCTAAGTGCGGGGGGAGCATCTGGGGCCTCGGAGATGCTAAGGTGGAAGAGAAGCTGGGAGGATGGAACAGCCAGAGAGCACAGAAGGTTTGGAGGCCGGAGTTGCTGAGGTAAGACAGTAACTGTGGAGGTGGAGTAGCTGGAAAGCAGGAGTAGCTGAAAATAGGACAGGCTGAGGACCTGTAGGAGCTGGGGGCAGCCAGCTCCCCACTCTGATGGAACCCGCAGAGGGCTCTGAGCATCTGAGCCCTTCCAGGCTGCCCTTCCGGCTTCTGGGCCAATAAATCTGCAGGGGAATCTGTTTATCTGTGAAGGTGTCCTCGGGCCTTGTGCCCAAAGAAGGCATCGCTAGTAATCAAGGGATTCTGGGCTCAGATGGAATCCCAAGTAGGGTGCTGCCTGCTGCTTTGGGGCTCCCTCCTCTCCCAGCCATGCTTGGGTCTCCAGGAGCCAGTTTGGAAGGGGACAGTCCTTAGCGTCAGGAAGCACCCGGAGAGTAGCAGGTCCACTTTCCTCCCAGGCCCATCCCCCCACAACTCCTGGCAGACACAGCTTCTCCCTGCTCCCCCAGCCCCGCGTCAGCCTGTTTGAGCACACCCGTGCCATCACGCACACCGGAGCTGGGCCGGGTGCCAGTCAGACAGGCTGACATCACAGACAGGCACAGCCAGACTTGGAAGCAGCTGGGGACCATGGGGCCTGCAGAGCCACCTGCTCCCCTGGGACCCACGGAGGCAGGGCTGATCCCTGCCGGGAGCAAGCAGCTGGCAGGCACTAAGTTCCCAAGAAATCTCACGAATGCCCTGCACCTTGGCTGGCCTGGTGTCCTCAGACCCTCAGACGGCCAGAGATATTCAACCCTGCCCCCTCTCCCAGCCCCAGGCCCTATCTGAGTCTCCCCAGCCACGCGAGGCAAACACAGTAGCCCACCCACCAGGCCTGATCGTAGGAATGCCAGTTCCATTTATGTAGCAGCATCCTGCCCAGGATGCTCTGGAGACAAGGGAGTGAGGGGCCTGTGGACCACCTGCTCTGACTGCCCCCACTTTTCTCCCTGCTCTGCAATTCTCACCCTGCTTCTCTTTCACTGTATTAAAGGAGAAGAGACAAGAAGTCTTGCCTCAGACAAATCTTCCCCTGGACCGTGGTACACAAGAGGGGCCTGCTTTGGTTGAAGTGGGAGCAAGTGGCCCAAACCCACAGAGCTCTGCCCTCATCAGCACCCACCCCTCCCTCCCCACCCTCACAGCGGTTTCTGAGGCTGTGGTGCTGAGCAGTTAGGAGCATGGACTCCGGGGCTTGGATTTGAAGCCTGGTTTGGCCGCTTTGTGTCTGAGTAACCTTAGGCCAATTGAGGCACAGCTAAACTCAATTTCCTCATCTGTAAAATTGGACTGGTGAGAGTCCCTGCCCCTCTGATGGCGAGGAGGCATCAGTGAGTTCATGCAGGGCAGCACTTAGAACAGGGCCTGCACAGGTAATTGTTGAATAAACCTTAGAGAAAGAAAATTGACTTTTTAAAAAGCAGCCTAAAACCCATTTATGTCTTGGCAGAGAGCCAAGGGTTTCCAGGTAGGTGGACCCTGGTCTGACTCCACGCTTTATCACTCAGTTTGCTGTGTGTTTGGGGACCTCTCCTCCCAGGACCTCAGTTTCCACATCTGAGCAGTGGGTAGCACTCCCTCGCTCTGAGGACTGTGCACAGAGTTCTGGGCCCCAAGCCCTGCTCAGTGCTTGGTCCCCATGTGTTCAGTAACGGTGTGTGTATATCATCTCCCCACCCCCACCGCCACCGCCCAGAAATCCAAAATCTCCACCTTTGAGAAGATGTGGGCCTTCATGAGCAGCAAGCCCTCGGCGCTGGTGAAGAATAACGAGGAGGGCATCCAGCGGACGCTGACGGCGGACTACGCGCTGCTCATGGAGTCCACCACCATCGAGTACGTCACCCAGAGGAACTGCAACCTCACGCAGATCGGGGGCCTCATCGACTCCAAGGGCTACGGCATCGGCACGCCCATGGGTGAGCGAGGGGCTGCGGTGGGGGAGGGGGGCGAGGCCCCGTCCATCCGCTCACGCGCACACTTGGCCTCCGGCTCCCCCTTCGCGTGTTGCCCCAGGAGCCTTGAAAGGCGGAAAGGCGGAAGGCGGCACAGCCTCAGCCCAGAGACGAGGGATACAGCCACAAGCCTCGAGGGGTCAGCCCTGGCCTGAGCAGGAGACTGGGGCAAACACAGGGTGGGGGGTCGGTTCATCGGTCATTCCACCTCTCCCTTATCTCTTCCCTGTGGATGCAGCCCAGACACACAGGGCCTGCCAGAGGCGGGTGGAGACAGGGGTCCATGGGCAAGGCTCTCTACCCCACATCTAGACCCTTCCTCCCACCTAGACACCATAGATAGATTGAAAGAGGGACCTCTTGGTCATAGGATCCCCGTTTGTGTAAGCTTGGTGGCTGGTGCCTGCCAGGGTATTGACAGGGGCAAACAAGATGGACCGGAAGTTGCTGACAGCCAGGGCCCCCTCTCTCCGACTCAGGCTCCCCGTACCGGGACAAGATCACCATCGCCATCCTGCAGCTGCAGGAGGAAGACAAGCTGCACATCATGAAGGAGAAATGGTGGCGGGGCAGCGGGTGTCCCGAGGAGGAAAACAAAGAGGCCAGCGCCCTGGGTATCCAGAAGATCGGGGGCATCTTCATTGTCCTGGCTGCTGGGCTGGTCCTGTCTGTGCTGGTGGCTGTGGGCGAGTTTGTATACAAGCTCCGCAAAACAGCAGAGCGGGAGCAGGTGAGCCCCCCAGAACTGGGGCCTGCACGGGGAAGGGAAGGACACAGGACAGGGTCCGGGCTGGTTTCACATCTCCACTGTGCAAGGCACAAGCAGGTGTCTGACCCCCATCCTCACCGTAGCCCACTCTGCATCCAATCCAGGAGGCCCCACCGGCCCCACCTCCGCACCCACTCGGAGCTCTCTTTCCCATCACTGCACCCACTGGGAGCTCACTTTCCCATCACCATGATTCCAGGCCACACCCATTACCTCCAGCTGGACCACCCACCAGCCTCCACTCCAGCCTTCCTGCCTCCACTCTTCCTCTAAACCAGCTGCTCTCCACACAGCAGCCAGTGCCCTGTTTAAAACTTAATTTAAACCATGTCCTTCCCCTGCATAAAACCCTCCAGGGTAATTGTGGAAGCTTCGTGATGCTTACATAGGGGTTCATTATACTGTTCTCTCCACTTCTGCATATATTTGGAAATTTCCATAATCAAAAGTTTAAAAAAGAAAAAGAGTTAAGCAGGATGGCCCAAGCTAGCTAGGTTCAACCCGTCTGATTAATTCAAGTGTGGCTGGGCAGTGGTTCTGGGTCCCAGGAGCACATTAGAATCACAGCGAAAGAGCGTTTTAAGTGCTAATACCCTGGCCTCACTCTCAGAGACTGGGTTTTAATTGGTCTGTGGCGGAGCCTGGAATTGGCTTCTTAAGAAACCGAATGGGGTGATTTAAATGTGCACCTTGAGTTGAGGGCCACTGGACTGGGCGGAAGCACCTTTCACAGAGAAATTCAAAGGGATACAGGGCAAGTGTGGAAGGAGATTGCAGTTAGATCATCTGTGTAAGATGCAGTTATACATCCATCCAAAATGAAGTGGCGTCCGTTATAGTCAGAAAGTCTGAGTCAGCAAAGAGGAAAGGGCAAAGGTAATTCTTGGTGTTGGAGTTGGCATTTGTGTGAAGAGAGGGACCCGTTCCAGTATTGCTGGTGGGAACCAAGAGGGTATGTTTCTGGAAGGCAGCTTTTGCAGTATGTTCAGAGTCCTTACAAATGACCGCATGTTTTGATCAGTCAATTTCTACTTTTAGAAATGCCTGCAGTGGAAATGGCCAAAGATATGTACAGTTTTATTTACAAAGATGTGTGTTAAAATGTTCATTGTAACATGAAAAAAATGTAGAAAAACCAAAATGTCCAGTAATAGGTAATGGTGTAAGAAATTATGCTACCTCCAGAAAGAACAACCAAATTCTTTAGGTTGTTCTAAAATTACTATTACAATTGGAATGAGCTCCAAATTCTACCAAAAGTCTATGGGATCTGATCGTTGCCCACCTCTCTAACTTCCTCATTCCCACCCTCCCCTCTTTTACTCTGCTTCATACACACTGGCCAGATTTTTAGTCCTTAACCCACCAAGCACATTTCTGCCTCTGGACCTTTGCACATGCTTTCCATCCACCTGCAATGCTCTTCCCTCAGAACTCCATATTCTTAATGTCTTCTGGTCATTCCGGTTTCAGCTCGGGTCATCTTCCCCACCTGTGCCCCTCCCAACCCCACTCTATCTCATTTCACTGTTTTTTTCTCTTAATAAGAGTTATCCCTCTCTCAAATTATTTATTTGTTCGTATGTTTATTATCTGTTTCTGTCCCATCCTTAGACCAGGGGTTCCTTGAGGGCTGGGGCCTTATCTGTCTTTTTCACTGCTGTGTGTCTAATATCTAGAACACTAGGTGTCTGGTGCATGATGGGTCTCAGTGAATAGTCTCAGAATGCAGAAAGGAAGGTGAGATGGGATGATATTCTGCATTTAGTAGGGAAGCAAGGGAAAGCTTGGAGAGGTCACCCAGCTGGTAAGAGGCAGAGCCAGAACTCAAAGCCAGGTCCCTATGCCCCTGCACCGCCCAACCTGCATAGGAACTGTCTGAATGCTGATGCCCGGGCCTCCCTGGGCAAGGTGAGATGGTGACAGCCCCGCTGCCTTCTAGACAAGCCACAGGACAACCTCTGGCAGTTGGCTTCGTGGAGCCACTGCCATCAGATACCTGTGGGCATCACTGCACTTGAGCTGTTCCTTTGGAAACCCACAGGGACCCAGGGCTGAAGAGGCCACTGCCACCCAGAGCCCTATAGGGACCTGCCTCCCAGTGGAAAAATATGAACTGGACTTTCCAAAAGTGGGAGCACAGTGACCCCTTCCCTCAGCTGGAAGCCCTTCCAGCGACATTATCCATAGATTCATCAAGTGTTTCTCAAGCCCTGACTCTGAGCCAGGCTTAGAGCTGGGGGCTGGGCTGGCCCGGATGACACTGGCTGGTTCCTGCCCTCAGAATCTAGTGGAGAAAAATCAGGCAGGTAAACTCCTTGAACTTTAATGTGCATGCCAGTCAGAGGCACAGTTTGCTTATCGGGAAAATGGGGCTAAGATGACACCACCTTAGTCTCCAACCAAGAACCTGATGCTTTGTAGGCTGCTCCCCAAATTGACCACCCGGCAGGGGGCGGATGGTGGGTGGGGTAAAGGTGGGAGAGAGGCCGGGTGGCCTTGGTACAGACCCTGGGAGGAAGAGGAGGAGTTGGCTGGAGTTGCTGGGCGAGGCCTCACCCGTGTGCCCCTTCTCCCCTCCTGACTCCCCCAACCCCCACCCAGCGTTCCTTCTGCAGCACCGTGGCTGACGAGATCCGCTTCTCCCTCACCTGCCAGCGTCGGGTCAAGCACAAGCCGCAGCCTCCCATGATGGTCAAGACCGACGCCGTCATCAACATGCACACGTTCAATGATCGCCGGCTTCCGGGCAAGGACAGCATGACCTGCAGCACATCCCTGGCCCCTGTGTTCCCCTAGGCACAGGTTGGGTGGGGACCACAGGCCTTGGGGCAGGACGGAGGAAAGCAAAGGAGACTGGAAGGAACGTCCTCAGTCCCTTGTGCTGGGCTTGGGGACCAGAGCTGCTGCCTGCCAACTGGGCCAGGAGACCCTGCCCTTAACCCACCAGGAAACCAGCAGGCCCCCAGGCCAGCTGCTTGGGCTTCACCCTCCTCTTGTTCCTTCTATGGGTTTCTAAAGCTGCCAGCCAAGACAGCCAAGGCCAAAGGAAGCACATGCCTCTCTCAGGCCAAACTCACCTGCCCCTCAACTCTCTTCTACAGTCAGAAGTTTCTACCATGGCCCTGCAGAGGCCAAAGGAAATGGGAAACAACTCTTATATTGCCACTCCTTCCCCTGAGCCCAGGCCTTCCGGAACTTGACTATGAGACCAGAGTACCTTGGGTACCTTCAGATGTTATAGTTTGGCTGCCAATGGGAGCCAAAGATGGGAGATGGCCACCCCACATGCCTGGGCAGAAGGAAGACTTCATCCCGTAGGGGCTGCTCACATGGTCCTGATCTCCTGGACTTGACACCATCCATGGAAGCCCCTGTTTTGGCAAAGTCGAAGACAGAGAGCCCCACAGGAGAAAAGAGGAGTTTGGAGTCCAGGAGAGAGGAGAATGCAGAGACTGTCATTTTGAATCCTTCTGGACAATGTCCCAGTGTGCCCTACTCTTCCAGGAGGTTCTAGGAGTAGAGGAGTGGTCAGAGCAAATTTTTCTCCACCTTCTGGCCAGAGGAGAGAGGACCCCTGAATCTCTCATAAAGGATGCCCAGAGACCCAGCCAATATTTGAAGCCCAGAGGAACAGTGAATTCCATGGAAGCCCTCGAGCCATCGAGCCATTGGATTTTACTTTGCTGGTTACCATGCTGTTTTCTAAACCCTGGTGGCATTAGGGAGCATGAGCTCTGTGCCAGCTGCTCTTCAGCAGCTCCCCGTTCCTGGCCAGTTCACCTTGACCTTCTTCTGTCATCATGGAAGGAGAGAAGTAGCCTAGATGGAAGTGAACGTCATCACCCCTCCTCCAAAGAAGATGGTGTCCTACTGCACAGGCCAGCTTTGGGTGAGGTAGGGAAAGCCAGAGGGGCCCTAAAGAACTCCTGGCCTCCTGGACTTGCCACACCCAAAGATGCTCCCCAGAAAGAGAAAGTGTTCAGGATAGCCTCCTCATAAAGGACCCAAGGGTAGGGAGGGAGAAACTGCCTCCTGGAGAATTAACCAAAGACCCCACAGAGAGACACAAGGCCATTATGGCCCCAGGTCTCTTGTCCAGAGCAGCTGGGAATTTGTGGGGTTTGGGGGTTCAGCAGAGGAGCAGTAGCTGATGAGGTCAAGTGAAAAATGGGCCAGATGATCTGTGGGTGCCAGCTAGCTGTGATGGATACTCTAGAGGTCTGTGACTCTACGATTCTGGGAGAAGTTTTGAGACATGAAAGGATTAGGAACAAAGTGTCCTTAAAGAGAATGCGATGGGGCCAGCAGGGCTGCCCATGGCCGAGGCAAGGGCAGTCTTCGAGGCGGGGATGGCGGCTAGAGATTCTGGACAGGGGCCCAGGAGACACCAGCCACCCCACTCCATCTCTCTCCTGTTTCTGCTTGGGTACCCTGCATAGAGAAGAGCTGTATTTAGGTCTCGAGAACTTTCTCAGCTGGGGTGAAGGATGATCTCTAGCTCCCCTCAGGACTCCCAAGGCAGGAGAGCACAGTGGACTCGTGTGATGAATACTGTCCCTCTTCCAAACTGAGCTGCAGGGCCAAACCAGCTGGTTCCCAGAATCACAGCGGCTCAGACAGGCTGTGTGCACTGGAGGTGGGAGAAGAGGGCTGGACATGCCACGTAGCCAACACATCTCATAATAGGAAAAGCCATGCTGTCGTGAGCTTCTGGGTGTAGGAGTGTGTGTGTGTGTGTGTGTGTGTGTGTGTGTGTGCATATATGTGTGTCTTTGTCTTTGTATGTGTGATCTTTGGGGGCTGGGCATGAATGGCAAATTAGAACATGTAACAGAGTCCCGGGCAGGCAATAATAGAATCCTTTGGGTTCTGATGTGTGTATGTGAGCATGTGTGCAAACTGGGGGTAAGCGAGACAAATTTGGACAAGCAGCAGGGCCCCATACATATAAAAACAGGAGAAGCCATGTTGTAATGGGGTTCTGGTGGGTATACATATGTATACGTCCATGCTTGTGTGTGTGTGTGCGTTTGGGCACCAAATGGCAGAGGGCAGAGGACAGACTGAAACCCGCAAACATCGCCAAATACGTTTAAAAGGAGAAGCCATGTCATCAAGGCATCTGCATGTGAGCGTACGTGTATCTGTGGGCGCAGTGGAGGGCGAGAGGGAGCGCAGAACCAGACAGGTGTGCGGCACAGGGCGATGCATATTGTATGAGAAACCATGTGGGAGTGGAGTGTGTGTGTGTGTGTGTGTGTGTATGCTCACATATGTGTGTTCAAAGACACACATATGTTCCAGCTCACAGCAGGAGCAGAGATGGACAATCAGGAAGGCAGGGAACCAGAGTCTGTGTGCACTTCTGTCGTGGAGAGAGATCATTTGTCACAGAGATCTGCTGAGGTTGCACAGGCATGGGCATGGGGAGACTGGCCAAGTAGGGGTGAACCGCTTCAGGGACTCATGGCTGGTGACTCCTAGCTCTACGTAGAGTGTCCTGTTTGAAGGGAAAATGACACTTTGGGTGCAATTCCAAGATAACCAGATTCTAATGAAGGTATCTGTGATCTCACCAACCACAGACACAAGCCACTATCTTTCTTTAGCCAGTCTAATTTCATAGCACACGCTCACATCCAAGCTCATCTCACACACATGTGTATGTGCTTTTGTGTATGACACGCTATGAACGTGTCATTTCTTCTGAGGCTATGCACATATATAGACTGTGATGGGAGGAAGAAAAGGAGGTGGCATGGGGTCGGAAGATCTTCATGAAAGGAGGGGAAAATGTGGAACTCAGAGGCACAGTTCAATTAAGGAAATCCCCCGACAGGGGCTGAAATGACATCTAGAGTCCTAAACAGAGGTGGAATGATCTGGCCTCCTGTTCAGGCCTTATGTCCATGTGTGTGGATAGTGTTCAAAGTCTGCCTGATGTCCTGTGTTTGTCTTGGAGACCAGCCCGGTGATCAGAGCACCGCGGAGACCACTTCTGCCCACGTGTGAGCTGTGTCTGCCGCAGGGTACCAAAGGTGCCCACTGCATCTTGGGGATGGGGGTGGAGAGCTATTCTCAGCAAGGTGGGTCATGTGGACTTAAACTTTAGGCCCACCTGCCAGCAGGTGTGGATCTGACCACAGTGGGTGCTCATGGGTGCACGTGCACACCGAAGCCCTGAGGCCGGTGGCTGGGAGTGATGGAAGCATCATCACTGGTTTGGATGGAACAGAAGATGGGACTGGCCTGAGCAGGTGCTGGACTGTCTCTGTCTGGCCCCACATGTTGATCCTGAAAAGAAGAGCACCCCTCCCTTCCATCCGCACCTCCCACCCCGAGATGCCGGTGCTTCCTCTCAGCCTGCTCAAACTGGCCAAATGGAGGGGCAGCAGTGAAGACACACACACCCTCCAAGGCCCTGGGGCTTTGGGGCCAGGGGGCCTGCTTATCTCTCCCCCCTTGACCTGTTACTGGTCTCTCTTCTACGGACTGATAAGAAAACCCTGAGACCTTTGTCGCCATTCAGGTGGCCCCATGTTGCAGGTGTCTTTCAAGAGGGGTAAGGCCCCCGTGGCTGATGAGCTGAGTCTGAACCTCTGAAGGCCGGGAGCACCTACTCCCATCACAGCCACAATTCTGCCTCGGCTGGAAGAGCACACTGGCTCCCCGGGCGCTGGGAGAGGGGAAATCCGGCCCAGGATGGAGTAGGGGCCAGGCAGTAGTGGGTGAAGGCTCTGAATAGTTAGAAGTCACTCTCCTCCTTAAACTGGAGAACAGAAGTTAGAGGGAGGCATACACTCACTGAGGACAGTCCGAGGCTCCCTCCTCGCCATCGTTTCCAGGGGCACTGATGTGCGGGGTTTCAGCGGCCACTCCGTCACTCGGCGGGAAGTTGCTCCCTCCCCAAGCCGCTCCCAGCTATCTGCACAAACATCTGGAAATAGGCCCAACTCCGGCCCATGTCTCTGGTCCTGTGTGGCTAGCCATCTGGGAGGGGCCTCGTGGTCTGGACAGACAGCTGTATGGACTTAACAACCGAGATGGGCCCCGCCCCGTGGGCAGACACAAGAAGTAAGCCCAACCCTTGTAGACAGGGGTCTGGAATAGACACATCCGGAACAGCCCCAGGCTGGGTGGGCGCAGCGGGACCTGGCCCAGCTGCTTGCCACGATGGGAGGGCCCTGCCCTCTGCTCCCGTGCCCAGTTTGAAGCAAGCCCTCATTTCAGTCCTGGATTTGCCCTGGAGTTAAAAATTTCAGCGCTGAGGCCGTACATGAAAGTCACAAAACTGTTTTTGGTGGAAAGTTACTGTTGTGTACATTATATATATGAATGTAAAAAGATATATATATATATATGCTGTATATATATATATATATATGCACAGTGTATATATGACCTGTCGCCCATGTGTATACACAACCCCTCCTGCACGTCTGCACACGGAGTGTACATAACCCAGCCAGTACGGGTGGGGACCAGGAGAGAGGTGGAGGCTGCAGCCACAAAGTCTGGGATGGAGGCCACTGGGGGCAGGGACTGTAGAGAGCCCCAGGGGGGAGGGGAGGGGAGGGAAAGGGAATGCGTACATCAGAGCTGCAGACCCTGAGCAAGAGGGGAGAAGTGTAGGGCTGGCGGATGGGCCTTGCACAGCCAGTCCCCCTGGGGAGGGGCAGGAGTGGCCCGGGGTCCTCCTCTGCATCTGAGAGTGTCTGAGGCAGGACAGCTGGGCTGTGTCAGGAGAGCACTGTCGTCCCCATACTTGGATCCTGAGCCGATACGACACTCTGGTCCCAGGGCAGTTAACAGGGAGCCGAAGGGCAGGGGAAGAGGGGGCCACTCCCTGGACCTGCCCTCAGTACTTGCCTGCACAGCCACCAGGTAGGCGTCAGGCTCCACCTGGAATACCCTAGAAGGCTGGAGAATTCTAGACGGCAAAGGCCTCTGCCTCACGTTCTCACCCACACGCGAAGGCAGAGCTCCCAGCTAGGGAAACCCTTTTTACAGAGAATGGCCCCCTGGGCATTGCCAGCATGCCAGTCTAATGTCCCATGCCCTAGGTATTGGCCTTGCCTCCATCCCCTGCCTTCTAGAACAGACCTCAAGTCACCCCATAGTGTGTCTCTGTTTTACAGATCAAAGGCCTCCAGATGCTGGAAAGCAGCTGTAGACCCAGTAATTGCAAGCAAGAGTTTGTCCCATCTCAGACAACCTCCCCAGCCCCATTTGCCCCCGAGGCCAGCTGTCAGGGAGTTAACGGAGGAGCCCGAGATATGAGCAGAATAGTGACATGGGGTGAAAGAGGGGAAGCCAAGAAGGCACTCCTGTCCGAGCACACCGGGTGCCACCTGTCTGCCGGCTCTTCTCTGCCACACCTTCCCCTGCAGGGCGGTGGCAGAGAGCCCCCGGCAGTACCCTCAGACCTCAGCCCCTGCCCCCACCGGATCTGTCTGTTCTTCACAATTCCAGTCCTTTAGCTAGTGGTCCTGCTCTGTCACAGGTCAGAGCATCTCTGGAGCATGCGGGAGAGAGACTATCTGGAGTGGGCTTCCACGTGGTCAGCCTCCTGCCCTCTACTTGGGCCCCAGGCCTCAGACTGGTCTGCTCTTAACTGGATCTGCCTCCGGGGCCCTGGGCAGAGCACATTTGAACCCCACCCCCTGAGGAGGGGACTGTCTTAGCTCCAGAACAGGAATCCGAGGGTCCAGGGGCCCCCACGGCACTGTGCTCCAAGTCCCCAGCCCGCCTCTGCCTGGGCCAGCTACTTGGCTGGGCCTCCCATCATGGGGACTTGGATTCCCAGCCCCTGGGCTGAGCCCCCAGACAGCACCATGTGAGACCCCTGGCCTGTCCCACCACCCAGACCAGAGTGCCTGGACGCCCCCCACTCCCACTCAACATGGTTCCCACACACTGGTCTCTGGGCCATTCAGGGGATGCCCTTTGTGGACATGCAGAATTTCTATGAATATAGTTTTTTGTAAACATTTTGTAACAATTTGGGTTTCATAGTAACTGTGTTACTTGCCAATCATTCTAGGCTGATGTAAATAAATTTCCAAACAAATCTGATTATTTTCCTTTTTAAGACACTGTGATATATCAAAGTGCACAGTTTGCTGTATGAAGTAATATGGTTTTAAATTTTAAATAAAGAAATGTTTCTAGAAAACAGGGCTCCCTCAAGGTGTGTTTTCTGTTTCTCTCTTTAGAACCAGAGGGTGCTGGCTGTTAAGCTGTGCCGTCTTCACCCAGGGCTGACTGGGCCCTGGGCAGGAGACCCTGGTGATGGGCAAGTGGGTGGCTCTAGTCAAGGCCCCTGGTTTCCATTTCAGATACTGAGCAGGTGGTGTCTGTCTCTGACATCATCTGACCTCAGTCTTCCCTTTCATTGGGCACCTTCCTCCACAACTCATCTCCATCCACATAGCTACCTTGGATGCTGCCATGTCCTTATGTGACCTTGTCCCTTTGGCAACAGCTGGGGAGGCTGGGTGAACCTCATATCCAAGCTTGGCCGATCAGAGATCTTACCTGAGCTTTTCCAAACTGGAAATGAGAAAGCTCTCAGTCTGTTACTCTCAGGAGATGGAAACTGTACACATAACAAGGGTTCAGGACAGGGCATTTTAGGCAGGAAGGGATTGAATACAGATGTTTCCAAAAACCAATGAAAATGAGGGAGAAAGTCCACACTGGGCTTCCAGTGGCTCCCAGGACAAAACAGAAGTGACCTGCCAGGGGAGTGACCACCTCTGAGACTGGCGTCAGAACTATGAGGCCAAAACACACCAGAGCTGCAATCCAGGGTTCAGAAGGCCTGGATCGGGAAGCCAGGACCACCACTGCCCTCATCACAATTGCTTGTCATCACCCAGAAAACTGAAGTAGTGCTGCTAAAAAAACCTTCTGTTCCCACGGGGGCGGGCAGAGGGGCTCTGACTCACTTCTGCCTTCCAGAATTCATGCAAATCGATTAATTGGCAGAGACTAATTTGCATCCAGAACCCTCCTTGTGTCCCTGTGACACCATTGTAATCGGAGCTAACATCTGTGAGCATATCCTATGTGGCAGGTGCTGGGCTAAGCTCTTGACGCGTATCCTCTCCTTTCATACTTGCCTCAGACCCTGACACAGCTCGGACCCTCACTCTACACAACCTCTCAGTCCAAGTGTCCCCACTGACTCAGTTTCTCTGTGTCCCCATTCTATCTCCCAGGATAGCGACTATGATTGGACCAGCTTGGGACAGTGGATCACCTGTGGCCCAATCAGCTGTGGACAGTGACAGTAAGGGGATCATGGTCCCCAGGGGTTTTGCTCAAGGAGGGTTGAGAAAACTGGAAAATTATATGAATTGGGAAGGCCTCCTAAATTGTGAAGCCTCCTATTCTGTCAACTGACAAGTGCCAGGTAAGCCAAGCCAAGTCCCCAGGAATCCCTGGAGAATGGAAAGGAGGCCAAGACCCTATGGGTTACAGTAGCTGAGAGCCGCAGCCTGGAAAGAGGCCTTGGGTCTGAGCCAGGTAGGGGGCAGGAAGAGGCCCTGGGTTGAAGCTGTTGGAGTGGGGGCAGAGGTAAGGTCCATCCCTTAGTAGTGAACATACTGGAGTTCAGAGTGGACTCTAAGTCCAACAGGGAGTGGAATGATGTAGACAAGAGACAAGGAAGAGACATGGTGGGAATTAGGCCCACGTGGGGGTGAAGGAACAGGTAGGACGCCCACTCATCCATTTATCCATCCATCCATCCATCTACCCACTCATCTAACCCCATTCTCACGAACATCTTTCCGTCCACCTACTGATTCATCAATCAATCCATCCTTCTACCTGTCTACCCACCCTCAATCCATCCATCCATCCATCTGTTTAACCATCCATCTGTTTATCCATTCATAGACTTAAACAAATAGTTTGTGTATGAGTCCCAGCTCTACTGCCTACTAGGTGTATAATCTTAAACCTGGAGAAGGGTAATCACCACCTACTGTGGGCTGAGCCCTCCCTGGGGGCAGAGTGGTGAGCAGTGAGGCAAGAATCCTCCCCAGGGGGACACAGAGCCTGGCCCAGAAGCCCATCTGTGACACTCTAGGCTCTAGACTAGGATCAGCCGGCCCTCTAGGGATGGTGGGGTGGCTCTGATTGCCTCTGGATTGGGCAGCCTCCCTGAGAAGCCCCTGACTTCATTGCTCAGCCCATCTCCACCTGGCTGGCCCTCCCAGCCACTGAGCTCTCTCTCTCCACGTTTCTGTCTGTAGGAGGCAAGGAAGTGATGCTGAGCCTTGCCTCTCTCCCACCCCCACCTCACTCCCACCTCACCCCCAAGGGCAGGGTGTGCTACTTCTCCCCCAACAGAGGGGGCTCTCCCCGCTCCTGCCCTGAGGAAATGGAGCCCACATTACCAGGCACTCAGTACCAGCCAAGAGTCCCTGCCAGCACTTTGGACCCATTTCCCACGGACTGAACAATGACCCTCCAAAGTAGGCACTGTTATACACCATTTTACAGTTAAGGAAGCAAAGGATTAGAGAAGTGAATGGATTTGCCCAAGGTCACACAGCTCGTCAGTGCGACATTCCACACGCAGAGTGAGAATACCAAAAGGGGCTGTCTGACCCTCTCCATTCTGCTCCTCTCCCCCGGGACCTTATGCCTCAAGATATGAAGCCCTTCCCCTCCCTGCCACCTCCTGAAGGAGAGATGGCAAAGAAAGGAGGGGAAGGAAATCAGGAGGCCAGGCTTCAAGGTGGCGGTGGAGGCGGGGCAGCCCTGTGGCCATTCCTGCTTCTGCCTCTCCTTGATCAATGCCCTTCGTGCTCCTCCCACTTCCAGGCACCAGGACACTGGCTCCTGGTTCCGATGCACCCAGCCCGCAGGAGCAGAACCTTCAGGAAGGTTCCTCAGTCGGGGATTGTTGTGGCAAGAACAGAAACCTTCTCTAACTGGAGGGGGGTAAAAAGACTTCATTATAAGGGGTCTGATGGAAGCATAACCAAGCTTCTCTCTTTCTCTCTCTCTCTGCCTACCCCTCCCCTTCCCCTTGATCAGAAGGTCCCCAGAGGAGTAAATGGCCACCCCAGTCCTGGTTTCAAGATCCCCCTGCTCCAGGGCCCAATAGCCAAGACCTTGTGTGAAAATGTCTCAGTTCTAAATCACCTGCCCACTCCTTCAAGGAAGACCTGGGAGGAGCAGAATGAGAGAGTGCTGGATGGGAAAGTTCTCAGTGAAAGGCTGTATCTACACGTTGGCTCTAGACCTGCACTTCTCACACTTTAACATGCAAACAAATGCCCCGGGGATCTTGTTAAACTGGTGACTGGTTCAGTGGGTCTAGGCTGGGCCTGAGATTCTGCACTGCCGACAAGTTCCGAGGTGAGGCTGGGGCTGCCAGTCCACCGCCCGCACGGTCCGTAGCCGAGCTGCAGAGGGGAGCAGTGGAGCGGCACAGTCTCAGGGGATCCTCCTGCTCCACGTTCTGGAGACCCAGGTCCATCCACCCAACTTTTCAGCAGCACAGAGCTGTATCCGCCCCCTTTTAACCCTTAACTCACCCCACCTGAAATGCTTAATTCAACCTCCTGTCATCCCGCCCTCTTCTTCCCCCTCATCTAGCCCCAGAATATCTAGGCTGGAGGGGACACCAGCTCACTCAGGGCCCCTCTGCTAGGCCTGATGGCAAGCCCCACCAAGCTGTACGATCAGGGACGCTAGAGTTGCTGGGCTGTGCCCCTCACTGTGTCTTCTTTAAGCTTCAATTTCCTTGCCTACAGAAAGGAGAGACCAAGTCCCACCTCAGGGGGTTGTTACAAGGATTCCATGACATTGTACCCGGCTTGCACCCGTACAGTTCAACCAATGGTAACTTCTATTGTGGAGGGAAAGTAAGACATGATTGAACCCTTCCCCAGTATTCCAAAAGTCAGAGTAGACCAGGCACAGAGAAATCAGAAAACAAAGATAGCCAAATACTCAGCTTTTAGGTTCTGGGTCTCCATCTAAGACCCAAAACATCTGGAAGAACACTTCATGCCATTCCCCCTCCATCACTTCCCAGATAAGGCCAAAGATTCTACAGGCTGGAGGAGGGAACCTGGGAAGGGACCGACAGACAGAAACAGAATCAGATGCAGACAGACACATTCTGTCGCCAGCCCCAGAGGATTCCAGGAAGTGAATCCCAGCCTCCACCTGCGTGAGTCTGGTTTTGGAGACTGGAGACTTGCCCCATGAGACACCCTTCTCAGTGCCTCTGTAAGGGCCGCTTCCTTTGCAGCCAGGTGATGCCCCCTGGCCATCTTGCATGAGTGAAGAGCCATCTGCACCCTGAGAATTCATTCAGATCCCATTCTCCCCACCCCCTGTGGCCAATCAGGAATCAGGGCTCTGTCTTAAAACCTTAAAGGGAAGGTGATGGTATATCAAGGCACTTCCCCACCTCTGGCCAAGTGGGACTTGACTAGAGATTTCCTTCTGAGCTCGGGAACAAGCCCCTTCTGCACTGTCTTCTTCATCACCGTCCTCACTGTTGTGGTTATCATTATTTCTATTCCTCAGGCAGTCATGGGGAGTCCTGATGGCTTGGAGGTGATTGGCCAAGACGGTTCTGGAGCAGATTCTGGCTGGGCTCTTTTTTGGTCTCTAGGTCTGGGGAAGTCCCATCCCTGATAACTATACCCTTGATGTCAAGGGCTCTCTCGCCTTTGGCCCGGAGCACAGAGGTCTGAGAGCTGTCGAGCTGGCTTTCACCTCCCACCGTTCCCCACCACCCTCCAGACCAGGGACAAGCCCTGTCTCCTGCCATCCCCCGTGGTCAGGTCTCCTATCATTCATGTCAGAGGACAGGGACTCAAAATCAGGCACAAGCGTTAAGGCTCTCCCACCACCTTAATTTAAGCAGATGACCTTGGACCATTCACAAGCCTTCGTTTTCACGTGTGTGGCGGGATGCTCATTTTGACAGCTTTAGGGAGCTCATGTGAGAATGAAAGAAAAAGCTTCCTATGAAAACATATGTTAAGTGTGAGGCATCAGGTTTACAGTTAGTGAGGGTCCTTCTCTGCTCTTCTGTCAGTTTCTTCTTCTCCCACTTCTTCCCTCTCTCCTGATCCCTGGGTCCATCTGGGGTGAGCGAGGAGCAGGAGGAGCTCAGGGACCAGGCACTCCTGTGGT